TGTGTGTGTGTGTGTGTGTGTGTGTGTGTGTGTGTGTGTGTGTGTGTGTACAAGACACTTATTCTCTTAATATTCTAGGCAATCCTCAATGGTGATAAGCTACAGAAGTGTCAACCTTCACTGGTAGGGAGAGTGTCCTCACCAGGAGTTCTCTTCAGCAGTGCAGAAATGGGTCCAGACCTCCCTCTACCCAGGTACAATGGACCTGGTGTTTGCTGTTTAGGTCACGTATGAACTCTATCTCCCACTCCATGCACGATGAGGGGTCCTAGCAGGCTACAAGCCCACTAGGAGTCAACCCAAAATGCTCAGGAGACAGAGGCTCAGCATCCTCCATAGGCCCCCTCTACTCTTCCCTGGTCAGCCCACCTGTGAAGTACTCAGGTCAATTCTGAGCACTATACAGGGATGTGGGAGCTATGAGAAATGGTAGAGAGAATGGAGGATGGATGTTTAACCTAGAGAAGAAAATGCTTGTTGCCTAGACAGAAGACCCACCCCGCTTAAGGATGACTTCCCTTACTCTACATGTAGTTATTATCTCTACCTCCAAGTTTTCTCCATTAGAATGTAATCTCCTTGAGGGCAGGGTTTTTTGTTTTGTTTTTTCTTTGTATCCTCAGGGTCTAACACATAATAAGCGCTTAATAAATGCATGTTAATTGATAGCAATCTTCAAATATAGGATCATAACTTTATAGGTGAGAGGGACTTTGGAAGCCATCAGGCCCAACCCCATCATTGTACAGATAAGAAGCACAAAGTGATTAAATGACTTGCCCAAGGTCACAAAGCCAGTAAGGATCTGAGGTAGGGTTTGAACCCAGATCTTTCTGATTCCAAGGCCAATGCCCTATTTATGACATAAAATCCATATCTGAAAGGTTAGCCTTTAAAAATGGACAGATTTTGATAGGGATTCAATGATAGATTTTAACTCAAAATTCAGAACCAAAGTTGCCCAATAATGGAAACAAAATACTTAATTAGATAAAGATAAAGCATTTATTAAGTGCTTACTATCTGCTAAGTGCTGGGTATATAAATCTAAGCATACAAGACAGTCCCTGCCTTCAAGGAGCTTACACTCCAATGGGAGAAGTCCACACAGAAAAGAATGTTAGGAAGGAGGTAAGAGTGGAGGTATGCAAAAGCACCACAGGATTGAGAAATGAGGTGGAGGCCTGGGTTCCAGCACGATGAGACAAAAGCTCACCCTTCAGAGCCCATTTGTCCCAGGGCAGAGTCCAAGGTTCCAACAGGAGGGAGATGAGAGACAATGTGTGTTCAAAGCAGGGGCTTGGATGGTTATCAAGAAGGATGCCATTGAGGGGACCTCAACATTGGATAGGAGACTGAGCAATAGAGTCACCAAGGGTCCTTCCCCAAAAAGGAATAGTCAAATGCTTTGAGTTTTCTATCTTTTACTGACACCATTGTTGTCAGGCTGACTGTAGGGAATGAGGAGAAGGAGGAGGAGGAGGAGGAAGGCTACATTCTGGTTTTCCTGGAGTCAATTACCAACTTGTTCTTTCTTTCATCAAAGAAAGAAGACATTTGGGTGGTTCAACCTAATATTTACCATCTCTAGCAACTGACTGACCCTTGAAGAAAAATGGAGGACAATGTATGGAAAAATGTTCTGTATTTTTGACTGGATGAGAGGTTTCATAACATTGTGTGTCACTCAAAATCTAGTTTCTAGTTCTTTTTTTCTTCTTTTCTTTTCAGAGGCAATCAGGGTCAAGTGATTTGCCCGGGGTCACACTGTAAGTGTCTGAGGCCAGATTTGAACTCAGGTCCTCCTGACTCCAGCCGTGGCTGTGCCACCGAGTTGCCCCAGTTCCTTGTTCTTAATGAGAAAATTCAAAATGGAGGACAAGCCTATTATGGGCAGTTTCATGCTTCAAAGAGAATGATTTGCATTGGTGAGAATAGAATGTCTCCCTGAACAGTCCCAAAGTAACTCTGTAAAAATATTCTGAACACAATTTTTAATTTTTTTATTTTAATTTTAATTTTAATTTTAACAAATCAATGATACGGGACCTGAATCCAAATCCTGCCTCAGACACTTCCAAGCTGTGTGACCCCGGGCAAGACATCGAACCTCTGTCTGCCTCAGTTTTCTCATCTGTAAAATGAGGAGGTTGGACACTGTGGCCTCTCAGGTCTCTTTTAGGGGGGACCTAATTAAATCCTAATTTATCTATTATAAATTAAATCCTAAATTTCTGATCCTATGAACTTGAAAAATAAAAATACAAAAGGAAGATGAAAAGGCCAAATTGTTCACAGTTGTCCAAATCCAACCCAAGCAGCCACGCCGTGGTGACCGTGACTGTCATTTCCTACCTCCGTGCATGGCGTCGATGCGGATCTTCAGCCGGTTGGGGCCCGAGAGTAGCTCCTTTAGGGCGCTGAAGTCAAAGATGTTCCTCAGCATGGTGGCATAAGCTTCCACCGAATCCACGATTTCCACTGATGAAACAAAGCAAGAGAGAGACGGGAAAATTAAACTTACCCTGAAACAGAAAGGTGACGCTGGACTTCTTTTTGTAAGGTATGAACTTCATTTTAAACAGAGAGGGATTTCATTAGTATAGAGAACAGCCAGGTGAGGAAATTCCTTCTATCAGAACAGGTGGGCACCAGCCAGGCTTACAGAATTGCCTAGGGCACTGAGAAATTATTCCCCCAGGGCCACAAATAAGTATGGGGGAGGGGGAAGGAACATAAAGGATGAGAGAATAAGGATTATAAATTCAGAGCCAGAAGGGCTCAGAGCCCACTGAGTCCAACCTCCCCATTTTAGAGATGAGGAAACTGAGCCTGCGAAAGATTCAGTCACTTGCCCAGGGCCACACAAGCAAGGAAGTGTCTCAGGTAAGAGTTCAACACAGATCTTCCTGATTCTAAGCCCAGGATGGATACACTGCATTACTGGGCTGCTTCAAGGTCTGAAAATGTGTCTACATCACCACCACCACCGCCCCTCTGCTCCCAAGCCTGGGTCACACTGGATTTTCCTTTTCTTTTATAAACCTAGGGTTTCATCAGTGTAGAGGACAGGAGATGGTGGCCTGACCCCTAAGAGTTTCCCAAAAGAAATGTAAGGCACATGAGAAATGTACGAAGGCAAAATCAGAGGATGAACAATCTGGTCTCAATTTATTGGGCGTACCATCGGACAAGGCACAGAACACTGTTCCAGAAGTCAGAGGACCTGAGTTCAAATCCTAGTTCTACTCGTGTGACTTGGTCGTTTTATTTTTCTGGACCTTAATTTTCTCATCTGTAAAATGGGCAAATTGACCTCAATTCCTCATGTCCCTTCTAGCTCTAAATACATGACAATATGAATCACTTTACAAATCTATTGTCCTAATGTGACTTTGGGGGCATAGCCCAGCTCTGCTTAGGTCTGGGTTTCAGTTTGACCAAGAAGGTTTGATTTAATTTCTTTATTTTTAAAAAAAATTTATCAATGCCTTTTATTTTTACATCATGGTCATTTTCAGGTATGTCCCTTACCCTTATAACACAGAAAAATAGTGACATCAAACCAATGCAGAGACCATACCTAATAGCACATACTCCATTCCACAGCCACAGTACTCCACCTCCTAAGGAAAGGAGAAAGTACACTTTCTCATCTCTCCCTTAGGACCAAGACCGGTCATTCCAATGGCACAGAGTTCAGTCTGTTTTAGTCTTTTGCTGGTAATCATAATTATAGTCATTATGTATATTATTTTCTGGTCTTGCCTACACCACTACATCAGTTCACATTAAGTCCTCCCATGTACTCTGTAATATTCTATCACATTATATGTATGACACCTATTATCTTATAATTTGTTCAGCTATTCCCAAAACTGCTACCCACTATGTTTCCACATTTTGTTGGCTACCCCAAAAGCTCCTGCTGTGAATGTGTAGGCATATAGGACATCTTTCTCTTGTTGTTGTCATTTAGCATAGATGCCCAGCAGTGGAACCTCCGACTCAAGGAGTATAAACATTTTCATTACTTTCTTAGGATCAATCCAAATGGTTTTCCAGAATGGGTTATACCAGATTACAGCTCCACTAACAACGTATGAGTATGCCCATCCTTCCCCTTTACATATGTTATCTCATTTATTCCTCACAACAACCTCATAAGGCAAGTACTATTATTATCCCCATTTTTACAGCTGAGTAAATGGAGGCAGTCAGAAGTTAAGTCATTTCCTCTGGGTCACTCAGCTAGTCTGAGCCAGGATTCAAACTCAAGCATTCTTCACTCTATGTCCAACACTCTATCTACTATACTATCTAGCAGCCCCAATATGTTTGTTCAGAGCCTTTGACCACTTATCTATTGGAGAGTCTGATTTAATGTTACTAAGACGGACCTTACAGATGATGGAGCCCAAGTCCCTTATTTTACAGGGGATAAAACTGAGTCCCAGGGTGAAGTGTCCAAGGTCAGAGAGCCCATCTCAGGGAACCTTCCACTACAAACAGGGTTCAGTTGATGTGGGAGCACACCCTTCTCTCCTCAATGGGAGATACAGCATGTTTCATATGTAGTTACATATGCCACTGGGTTTTCCCTTCTAACAAGGGCAGAATCAGTGGGAGCCTAGATATCACAAAAGGAGGGCTGTGCTATCAAAACAAAAGGCTTCAGTAAAATTTTAAATAAATAAAATAGAGTTCAGGCCATTTAATTAATGTACATGAAGCGTCTGAAGGGACAGGCTGTCTTCCAGAGCTGCCAAGTTCGGCTTTCCTGAGAAAACCTGGGGGCTAAGAATGCCAGGGATGAGCTGAGGAAAGGGCACATGCCTGTGAATGGTTTAAACTTGTTTTCCAAGTCAAACTGCTGCTTCCCAAGGACGCTGAGGTCGACTTTCAAGTCCGGGCAAATGGCATATTCTTCGATTGTCTTACTGATCTGGAAGATTTTCTCCGTGATGGCTTCAGGAGCTGGTCCTGGAAATTAAACAACAAAGCCTGGGTTACTAAGGGATAGTCATGGAGGGAATGAGGCATTCGGAAAACAAAGCTGCGCAATTCATCCGCATTAATGGATCCTGGTACTTCACATTCATTAGGAAAGAGATCATACAAGTTAGAGTCAGAAGGAAACTTGGAGTCTGTCTCCCGCATTTTACAAATGAGGAAACCAAGGCCCAGAGAATGAAGCGATTTATACAAGGTCACCAAAGTAATAAGGACCTAGGAATGTTTAGACCAGAGAAGGGAAATCTCGCATCTCTCACCTCTCTAATCCATCTTATACACAGGTGCCAAAATGATTTTCCTGAAGGGCAAGTCTGGCCATGTACCCAGAATTTGGAGGTGGGGGAAAGAGAAGGAAACAAGCTTTTATTAAGCACCTACTATGTGCCAAGCACATTGGAAATAATATTTCATCTGATCCTCACAACAACCTGGGGGGGGTTAGATGCTATTATTATCCCTACTTTACAGCTGAGGAAACTGAGGTGGACAGAGGTTAAGTTTTCCTGACTCTGGCCTCATGCTCTATGCACTGAGACATCTAGCTGCCCAAGGGATCCTACCCAACATGTTGGAGGGCCTTCCTTGAGTTCTCATGACACTGGATGGATGTCATGCCCATGCATTAGCTTTTCTTCCCTCAAATTCCACATTCCCTTATAATGGAGCTCGTTGGCCCCAAAGAGGTAAGGAGGAAGGAGGGGCCTATTTGTTTTCATAGAAAAGGAAGCAAAGGGACAAAAGAGCTAAGAACCTTACTAAGAACCTTATCCGTCGACCAATGAACTAACTCACCTCCATTGGATATGTTGAACTTGATTCCGAAATCTCCATTAGGGCCGCCGGGATTATGACTGGCTGTCAGAATGATCCCGCCAATGGCTTTGATTTTCCTAATGATGCAGGACACAGCCGGGGTAGAGAGAATGCCATTCTGTCCAATCACTAATCTTCCGATCTAGAAGAGAAATCCACACCAGACAGAATTTTAAACAGTAAGAAGCAGAATCTGCAAGATGACAGAGTGGATGGCCCGAGTTCAAGTTTTGTTTCAGATATACACTAGCGGTATTACCTTGGACAGGTCATTGAGCTCTGGAAAGCTCTAGGGGCCCCAAGCAACCTTTGAAGCTATAGATGAGCTGCCAGTCTAAACAGGTGAAGGGATATTCCACTCCAGAAGTTCCCTCTCTCAGATGAAACAATAAGTCCAGATCAAAACAATAATGCCCGGGTAGGGGGGGATTTTAACCAAATTCTTTCTGATTCCCAATTCAGCACTTGATTATCTACTTCACCACGCTCCTTGCCACAAATAAACCAGATGAATTATTGCCCAGAACAAAGTGCCAGGAAGAGACCTAAACAACGACGTCTCTATTCCCACCCAGTAGAGAGCTGAGAGTCTCTTAATAACGACACTTCAAAAGCCTGAACAAAATGTCTGAATGCATCCTCTGTGCAGCCGGAAGAGCTGAACGACATCATTCAGACCTCAGGCTATTTCTGAGACTGTGTCATTTCAGAACAGGATGACCCGGAAGGAGAGGAAAGATTTAGCAAATGAAAGTATTAATTTCAAGGAATAATTTAAGTTCCCACATATTCCAAAATATTTACAGCAACTTGTTTTTGGTAGCTGCAAAGAACTGGAAACAACATAGATGCCTATCTGTTGGGGAACAGCTGAAACCCACTGCGGTGCATGGATTTAAAGGATTCTTACTAAGTCACAAGAAATTAATAGGAAGAATTCAGAGAAGTAAAAGAAGAATTAGAGAAACTGGTTTAGGCTGAAAGGAGAGCCAGGAAAACAAGACATTACAGGATTACAATAATGTAGATGAGGAGAACGGCAAAACCATCGAAAATGAGTGCTGTGAAATTATAATGGCCAAGATTGGTCCCAAGGAAGCCGCATGAAAAGTCACCTGCCCTCTACTTCTTTGCAGAGGTGGAGGACTGGAGGTCTGGAATACTGGAGATATAATAATGCATTGGTCAGTTTTGCTGAGCTGTTTGGTTTCTTTTTTTATTCTTTGTTATAGGGATGGCTCTCTAGGAGGGAAAAGATGTAGTTTATATTGGGAAATAAAGGAAATGAAAAAACAAACAATATTAATTTAAAAAAAAACACACCTGTCTAGACCAGAGTCTGTTCTTTGGTCTCTCTTCCTATAAATCAACAAAGTACAATGGAAAGAGTGCTAGACTGGAATCATAGGTCCTAGGTTCAAATTCTGGCTCTGCTATTTACCACCCATGTAACCTTGGGCAAGTCACTGAACCGTTCTGAACCTTAGTTTTCTCATCTGTAAAATGGCAATAAAAATGTGTTGTTGTTCACTCGGTCGTGTCTGACTTTCACGGACCATAATGCCCATGGAGTTTTCTTGGCCAAGATACTAGGGTGTTTTGCCATTTCCTTCTCCAGTGGATTAGGGTAAATAGAGGCTAAGTGACTTGCCCACGGTCATACAGCTAGTAAGTGTCCGCGGTCAAATTTGAACTCAGGTCTTCCTGACTCCAGGCCTAGCACTCTATCCACTGAGCCAGAACACTAGTTGTGTAACCTTGGGCAATAAAAACAGCACTCTATAATTTATCTTTTTGGCACCTAGGAGAGCACCTTGCACACAGGAGGTGTTTAATAAATTCTTGTTTGGTTAATTGATCCATCCTGGATCTTCATATATTCAATTTATTGAAAAAATATTTGAGGTCAGGAGTAGAGGGTAGTTCTAGGTACCCCCAGCAGAAAACTAGATGGTCTGCCTGCAGAGGGCACAACACAGATAAACGTCTAAGAATCCACCCAGAGAAGGGCAGCTAGGTGGCGCAGTGTGTAGAGCTCTGGCCTTGAAGTCAACAGGACAAGAGTTCAAATCCAGTCTCAGACACATGACACTTACTAGCTGTGTGACCCTGGGCAAGTCACTTAACCCCAATTGCCTCATCAAAAAAGCAAAAAAAAAAAAAAAAAAGAATCCACCCAGGGACAGCGTGTGCTCTGAGATGCCCTCATAGGCTTGGGACGCTCTCTTTGGCTTCCCTGGCTTCCTTTCAATCTCAGCTCAAATTCCACCTTCTTTCAGAGACCTTCCCCAGTCCTCCCATAGTGCTAGTGTCTTCCTTCTGAGAATACCTCCCATTTATAATGCATCTCCCACGTCCATCGCTGTCTCCACATCTCTCCCATTAGAATGTAAGTTCCTCAAGGGCAGGGACTGTGTTTTTGCCTTTCTTTGTATCCCTAGCATTTAACACAGTGCCTGACACACAGAGTTTAATGAATTCTTCTTGACCTGACTTAGATTATGCCCAACTCCTAAATATTCCCACCCAGAGGTAAAAGTGATTTGTGTTTGTTTCAACATAACCACTAGACCTGGCTCCGATGGAGAAAATGGGATATGAGATTTTAGAGTTGGAAGGGACCTTAGAAATTGTCTTAACCAATTCCACCCTATTTTATGTATGAGGAAAACTGAGACACAGAGTGCCAAGTCACATACTCAAGGTCATACAGATAATGCCTGGCAGAGCCATGATTTGAACCCTGACTTGGTAATTCCAAATCTGGTTCTCTGGGATTGTGACCGTGAAACCCTCCTTCAGGTCACTGACACCTCCGGCTGCCTAATAGTCAAAGCTGCCCACCTCCTGACCCCTTAGCAAACATGTGGTTCGTTCCAGTTGCATCTCAACACTCAAATCAAGCACCTCGTGGTCCACAGTCTCTATGCTATACACAAGGGGATACCAAGGCTCACAGAGGTCCAGTGACTTGGCCTCCTGATTCCCAGGAGGGAAGGACAAGGTGGGACAAGAACAGGGAACATCTCATGTTTTCCTTTGGGATTTGGTGTGGGAAGTGAAGAAATCTGGAAAAAAACCTGGAAAACTACACTGGATCCAGGTAACAAGGACTCTGAAATGCCAGGGGAAGGCATTTCTCTTTTCCTATGGGCAAGAAAGACCTATTGATGGTTCTTGAATGGAGAAGTGGCATGTTCAGACCTGTAGCTCAGGAAGAATACCTTGACTACCTTGTGAAGGATGAAATGGAAAACCAAGCAATCAACAAACGATTTATTAAGTGCTAATATGTGCCCAGCAGAGGGAAGGCAAACATAATAAATGAAGCAGTCCCCTATTCGGATTGAGCATTCTGGGGCAGCTGGGTGGCGCAGTGGATAGAGCTCTGGCCTTGAAGTCAGGAGGACCTGAGTTCAAATCCCGTCTCAGACACACGACACACAGCTAGTACATCGTTAAAATTTAGAAGATAAGTCTTTGTACAACTGTGACAGCTGGGCATTGTGGGCGGGGCACCAAGGTGCCCATAGGTTACAGTAGGTGAACAGTGACCCTCCCCACTGCAAAATCTCAGCAGGACAGGAAGGAATGTTGAAGTCTTTTTAATTGACGGTTGCCTTCACTGCTCCCCAACCCCACGGGACAGCCAAGATCAGGTTTCTCTGGCCTGCTGGCCGCACACAGTTGTATCCTTCTCATGTCAAAACACATCACACTAACTACCGTGGCTATAGGATGGGCTAGCAATATTCCAAATGGGCTTTGCCAATCTTTGACTCTGTGCATCATAATTTCCTGAATATGGAGACAGTGTGGATTCACATAAGACCCAAGGGAAACTTGGCATTCATGAGTCTTATATTATACATTATATTCTATAATTCATTTAAAAGTATTGGGGAGGGGGAAGGGAAGGACAAGCCGAACACAGAAAAACAGACATTTAATTTACTGCTGTATTTAGTAATCTCTGAGATTTTGGAGTGGGGAGGGTCACTGTCCACCTACTGTAGTCTGTGGGCACCTTGGTGCCCCCCCCCAATGCCCAGCTGTCACAGTTGCACAAAGACTTAAGTCCTAAATTTTAAAATGGACAAAATTTAGGGCATATTAAACAAACAAAAATAAGCCCCCTCTATACACACACACACACACACACACACACACACCCCATGCTGAGTTTGATCAAACCATAAGATCAAAGACCTAGATCTGAGATATTAGAGGTATCAATAATAAAATGTTAAATAATAAAATTTGTTATAATTTAATAACTCAATCATAAAATGTTAAATGATAGAAATACTAAATAATAAAAATAAAACATAGTGCTTTAAGGTTTATAAAATGCTTTACAGATACTAACTCATTCGATCCTCACAACAACCCTGTGAGGTAGGTGCTATTATTATCCCCATTTTACAGATAAAGAAATTGAGGCAAAGAGAGGTTAAGTGACTTGCCTAGGGTCACACAACTAGTAAGTGTCTGAGCCAGGATTTGAATTCAGCTCTTCTTGACTCCAAGCCTAGCACGCTATGCACTATGACAGTTAGCTGTCATCTAATCTGATGCTCACATATTATAAATGAGGAAATTGAGGTAACCTATAAGTGTTTCATTATTATTATTATTATTGCCACCATCAAATGAGATGTATGTAAAATGCCTTGTAAACTTTAAAGTACATATATGCATATGTGTGATGCTATATAAATACTAACTATTATTGTCATCATCACCATCATCATCACCATCACCATCATCACCATCATCACCACCATCATCATCATCACCATCATCATCATCATCACCATCATCATTATCATCGTCATCATCATTGTTTTGGTTCAGACGTGAAATCAGTGGGGAACTCCCAGAACAGACACTCCCTTCACCAATGTAGTTTAGACACTCCTCTGGAACTCAGGGCCTTGGAGAGTTGTTAGGGGTATTTCGAGGGTAAGTGACTTGGCCAGGGTCATAGAAGCAGCATGTGTCAGAGGCTGAGCTTAAACCCAGTTCTCCCTGACGCTGCCCTTCAAAAGCTTGAACTCTTTTAAATAATTCAGTTGAGAGACTATCAGGCGAGCCCTGCCTCCTTAAATCAGAGGTTGCTTTTAATAAGTCATGCCCTTG